GCATTTTTGCAAACAATTTTTGGTTTTAAAATAAAATTGGTTTTTTTTTTTTTTTTTTTTTTTTGTATAGATACCCCTTCAACCTTTTGAATTTGGCGATTTAGCCATTATTCTTTTTTCTTGGCAATTGGGCCTTTCAACTTAAAAATCTTTACAATTAAGGTCCAGTTGAAATAATATATGTTTTCTTTTATAATTTTGATCACGTAACGCGTATGCGAGCATCTGTTAAGGGCAATAAAGGTTACTTCTCACACTTAGAGCGCCTGTTGAGGGCAATAACAGTTGATTGTATTCGCATATTCTGAAATCAATATAACCGAACAAATAGAGTGAGAAATAACCTTTATTGCCCATATCAGAGGACCACATGCGCGTTACGTGATTAAAATTGCCAAAAAATAGACATCATTTTCGATTGGACCTTAATTCTAAAAATTTGAAACTTAAAGGGGCCAATTGCTAGGCAAAAAAATAGGTACATAATTGCTAAATTTGAAAAGTTGAGGGGTGTTTGTACAAAAAAGCCAATTAAATAAATTGTTTTGCTACATTATAAATATGTCGATTTGTGAAGTTTACTCGTATTCGAGTTTATGAATTTATTTGACAAATTCCCTGAATGGGATCGTATTTGACAAATTCCCTGAATGAGACGATCCAAGTAAATTTCAAAGATGAACGAAAGACGTAAAAGAAGGTAATTAAATATGAATGAGCTTTCATTAGTTTTGAACTTCTGGGCATACGACGGGAGGAGGTAATTGCAACTGTCTTAGTTTAACATATAAATTATATGAGATCGTACGTCTTTAGAGATTTTGAAACGGGCTAGCACGACACGTTAAAAAATCGGCATGATATGATTATTAAAAGCACAACAGAGCACAAGTAGGGACACGTTAAAAGCAAGATAAGGGCCCAATTAATGAAGATGAAGGATAAAACTAATTTTATTGATCTATTTTACTTGACATAAAAAAATTAGTTTTTTTAAGAAGTTTTAATAAAAATAAAAACAATAATTAAGTTAATAAAATGAAAACTTTACCGATTCTTCCAAATAAAAACTAAATAGTTGTTAAAAAAACAAATAGCTTTTTTAGATTATTTGCGTTGGCAAACTAACAAAATAGGTGCACAGTAACCTATATATAATATTATCATATTTGATATATATGGAAGTTTATATTATCTGTTCAGTGCTTATTTCCTTGCATTTGTTGTAAATATGTTATTTGGCATGACAAAGCCAAGTTAAAAGCATGATAAAAGTACAAGCACAGGTACGGGCACAAGCATGACCCAAACACCAAAAGAAATAGAAGCAAAATAAAATTGCAATAAAAACTGGAGAAATCAAATATTTGTTGATAAGGAAAATATGAGCTGATTATACTTTGATTGTGAAGCTGGCAATTTGGAGCATATTTGTTGTGCTGAATCCGGGAGAAGACAAAAAGCTGCAGACAACTACGAAGAAATTAAAAGAACGGAAACGATCGACTTAGGAATATATTGATCACACTAGCAACAGAAGCCTCAAGCTAAGAATCATGCCAAAAATCCGAGAATATTTGTCAATATACAATCCATTAAAAGAAATTACATAGAACCAAAATTAAAGATAAAAGCGAAAAGAGATAGCGAAGAAGAGACGAACCAGAGATTAAGTAGAAGAATTTAGATTGCATCGAGAAATAAAGAGAAGAAATGGGTTTTCATCAAGGTCTGAAGTAAAAAACAAAAATACAAATCAAATTTCCATGATGTATTTGAATAGACAAACTAATTCGTATAATTTAAAATGTGATATGATCATACTTTTCTTGTAATCAGCATAAATCAATCCAATGTGGAAAACTTTAATTGTATATATGGTTTTTTCAAATGGATTTTTTTTTTCATGCACAATATTACAATTATTGATCAAAACAATAAACAAAGGAAAAGCTTAACCTTAAAAATTTTAATTGTTGGTTTTCCTCACAACAGTCAACTTTGTACACTCTCGCTAACTGTGACGACCCTCCTATGAGGCCGCCACTGTAACTTAAACTTTAACTTGTACTTACTGGAGTTTCTTAAAATTTGCGGAACATTTTTTTTTTAATATAAGAAAGAATACTTTCATAATTTGTAACAATAATTTCAAATAAGTGAATCACTAAATTTCTTAAAGCTTTTCTTAATTTCAGTTAAGATAAAACGTTCTAAAAATATCTTTCAAACAGAGCAGCATTTGAACTCTTATTTCAAATGCTCTTTAAAAGCCTTTTTAAAACTAGTCAATTCAATCGGGCCATTTAATTTTGACTTTAAAACGGATTTCGTGGGAAATCTTAAATTCAAGTACATCTTAAAGCCCTTTTAAAATCAATCATTTAAATCGTCATGTTTAAAATTTGTTTATTTGTTGCATGCTCTGTTGCAACGTTCTAAAACTTAAATACTCAAAACGATGGTTGTTAGCTACAACCTCGGTTTCCTTAACATACATATGTACCTATACTTTTTAAACATACATGCTTGAAACCTTTAAATCATATATACATATACATGATTTTTCTTAAACTTACTGCGGAAGATAACTGCGTGAGCGGTA